TGTCGACGCGGTTTTATAATGACGCTAAACAGCTTTGACGTTTTTTTTCCTTTTGATACACTTTCATTAGTTAAATACTATTTTACAGCTGTTTGCCTTAATAAAGCACTCTGTAATGTATTTACAGTTGATTCACTTAACTACCCTTTTTCAGATAACTTTCTGTTGTTATATGATGCGATATATATATATATATATATTTACCATAATAATTCTTTACAATAAAATATAAAGTACATAAAAGATTAATGGAAGGACTTCTAGAAGATCATATAGATCTTATCACGAAGCCCTGTACAATTTATAGTTTCAACAATATTTAAATAATATAAATTAACAATTTCCGTAGTCAAGTTATATGGATTATATATGTATATATATATATATATATATATATATATATATATATATATATATATATATATATATATATATATATATATATATATATATATATATATAAAATAACTAAATATAAAAATGACTCTAAACGTTTATGGAAAATATTAAAATTAATAACACGAAAACAAAAAACCTGCTCAAATATCCTACCAAAAATGATTAAAATAAACAACGTATCTATATGTAAACCTAATGAAATAGCAAATGAATTTAATAAATATTTTACTGATATTTGAAGCAAACTTGCTAGCAGGATTTCTTCTAATGATATTTCCTTTCATCATTTTTTAAAATCTACCAATAATTCACCTTTTCACCATGGTTTATTGCTAGATTTATCAATTAAAAAGTTTGAAAGAGTCTTCAAAACTCTAAAAAGAAACAAAGCAGTCGGGGCGGAATAAACGGAAACATTGCTATGAAAACATAAAAGATATTATTTTTAAAGTCTTCAAAGCATCTATACAACAAGGTGGTTTTCCTGACCAACTAAAAATCGCCAAAGCTATCTCAATTCACAAAAACAGTGAAAAATCAAATGTTAATAATTATCGCCCTATTTCTGTTCGTTCCACGTTTTCAAAAAATTTAGAAAAAATTATATACGAAAAGACATAGAGTAAAATGGGGTCAAATGGAATAGTTAAGGATTTTAATTATCAATTTTTTACGGAAAAAAGTTTTTTCCTTTTTTTTTTAAAGTTGTAGAGAGTATTGACCTGTTTTTAAATATATAAAATTTTAACAATTTTTTTGTAAAGTTTTTTATGAAACTTTATTTGATTAAAAAAAATTTATTCCATTCTACACTGACATTTGGGGAGAATGAAATACGCAAATGTAAGTGTAATTAAGGTGGTAGACTGCTAAAAAAATCATTTTTGTATTTTATAATATTTCAATAAAATTTTTTACTTCTAACATGATAAATACATTAGAAAATTCATAATTTTTATTTTTTTTTTTTTTTTTTTTTCATATATATTTTGGGCAAAAACAGATGATTTTAGGCCAAAAACAGGCTAAAATCTTGGCAAAGATATCTCAAAAAGTATAATTTATTAAGTTCTAATTTTTTGTATTTTTATTTGTTTTATGTAGATAAATGTCCTGAGATAAAAATTTATCTCAGGACATAAAGCTTATTATAATGAATCTCTGTACAAAATTTTAAGTCAATTGGACAATTACAGCTCCTGCAATCTTTGCCAGAAAATTAGAAGAATAAATAAACAGAGGAAAAAGCATATAAAATTAAAAATTATTAAAACAAACTTATTAAAATCCCCCTTTTTTATATACTGCTATTATTAATTTTTGTATTTTTTATCAAACCCTTTCCTAGTTGCTTTAAGATTTTTTTTTGTTTTTTAATTTTTTTTTTTTATTACTAACCTTAACTAGCGGTTGCTATGAGCGTTGCTAGGGAAAACAAAATTACCCTACTAATATAAATCACTTTTATTACTTCTAAATTTTTTTTCACATACGAAGATCTATATATTTTTAGACTCTACATCAGTTACTGTTTAAAACAATGCCACTTTTGAAAAATCGTTTTTTTCTAACTTTTTTAGCAGTCTACCACCTTAAAACAACACTTTATTAAAAAAACAAAACAGCAACCAACAACAACAATTAAAAAAACAATCAATAATAACAATTCAAAAAATCAATCAAATAAAATAAACTTTTTTAGGGTTTTCTTGCGGTGATGTTGAGCCGTTTAGAGGTACTTGAGGTTGAGTTGAGTTTTAACTTGTGCAGCACTTTTTGTAGCAAAAAACTCAGCGCCTTTTACGTATCGCTTTCGTATGCATGTTTGACATAGCTAAATCTTGCAATTTGAGTTTTCACAGTGGTACCATTCCATAATTTGACTTGCCGAAGTTTCGCCCAAAACTTTTCGGCACTTTTTACACTTGAATTGGTTTACAGGTAATATTTTCGTTGGACTTGTTGCTTGGTTTATTTTCTGTTCTCCATTAGAGCTAAGTTTAGGTTGTTTTTTAGCTTGCTATGCTGCTTTTTTGCTCTCAGCATCTTTCAACCTTTCAAGTATTTCAGGTTTGTTGAGACACTCCCCTTCGAATCTTGGCACATCTACATTTTTTCTTTTTTTGTGTGTCAACGTGTTGGATACGAAACATTGATTTATTAGTGTATTTCATTCAACTTCGCAACATTCAGTTTCCGTTTTTAACTCATAACTTTTTTTCCAAAATAGTAAATTTAATTTTGAAAACTTCCTGATTACGAATAGTTTACTATATAAAAACCAATTTCGGCTTTAAAAAAAAAAGTTCAACTGAACAAGCCATTGTTCAGTTTACATGTGAAGTCTTAAAGTCATTTGGTAAATCACAATATACACTTAGTGTTTTTATCGATTTATCAAAAGCTTTTGACACAGTCTATCGCGATATTTTACTTAAAAAACTTGAATTCTATGGAATACTTATTTATTTGATTTTTTTTATTTTATTTGAATTTTCCTGCTATATTTTTCTATACAATGTTCTTATATCCGAAGATATTGTTGGCTTAGCATAGGAACAGCCACAAATAGTCATTAAGACTATTCCAAAGTAGCGTCCGTTATTAACTAACATTTTTGCGTACCGAAGTACTACTCAAGAGCTGAGTTGGCGGCGGCAGGTATCTTACAACTGTCCGGGTTTAAACTTTTTGTTCGACGCTCTAACCAACTGAGCTATCCAGCCACTTGTAATAAGTGCAATAATTGTAATATAGTGAAACAAGTGGTAAATTGATAAAATGGTACAAAAGTTAGATGTCAAATAGGAAGCAGTTACTATGGGGATGAACTATTTTCTATCATTCTCAAAAATTCTTTTTTTTAGTATATATCAATGATCTAAATAAAGCTTCTGATTTGATGAGCATCGTGTTTGCTGACAATACCAATCTATTTTTATCAGACAAAGACATAAACAAACTTTTTTTAAATATGAATAAGGAACTAATACAAATTTCTACTCGGTTCAAATGCAAAAAATTAACCTTAGTTACTGACAAAACAAAAAAACTTTTTTTGCCAAAAGATTTGCCTAAACTTTTTATCGGTACAGTAGAAATTAAAGAAGCTTCCTTTACTAAAGCTCCTTGGTATTTATCTTGATGAAAATCAATATATGGAAAACTCATATTAATTATATATCAAGAAAAGTTGCAAAAAATAATGGAATCCTATATAAGGCTAGAAAAAATTTTAATAAAAATTATTTAAAACAACTATACTACTCATTTATTCATAGCTATATAAACTATGCGAATATTGCCTCGGGAAGTACAGGTAAAAGTGAGTTACGACGTCTTTATCAGCATCTGAAACATGGAATGCGCGTAATATATTTTTCAAATCGTTTTTCAAATACAAAACCTTTATTTAAATATATGAACGTTTAATTTTTTATGAACTTAACATTTATAATACCTTATGTTTTACGTTTTGTTGGATGAATAACCCATTAATAAATGTTTTTAAAGATGTATGTACCCTTAAAGCAAAAAATAAATATAGTTTGCGAAAAATAGCTTTCTTAACGAACTCTTTTATCAAATAAAGTTTAACTAAATTTGCATAACTTATCGAACACAAATCAAAGTTGTTCAGCCAAACCTTGATTTGTCTTTTCCAGCCAAACCTTGATTTGTCTTTTCCAGCCAAACCTTGATTTGTCTCTTTTCCAGTTTTAAAAAAAAGTTAAAATATATTATTTTTTCAATGGATAATATATTAAAATATTTTAGAGATATAATTATTAACCATTTATTATTTCAACTAATTTAGATTACTATTTTGATTTTAACTACTTATATTATATTATATTTATATTTTAACTTTTATATGGTTCTGGCGACAAGATCAGTATGATCTTCTTCCAGATGCCAAGTTTATACTATACAACATGTTATAAATGTAAAAAAAAAAAAATATCAAAAACAACAACATCTTTAAAGGAAAAAAACCTTCTCCTACTTAATATGTTTTTTTCCTTTGCAATATTTACTTAGTATTTGTCCATCTTAACAATTTTCTTCACTTTTTTGCTATAAATACACCATTGAACGAAGAATAGTCTTGCATTTGGCAAGAAGCATTAACAGCAATTTGGACAATGCAACTCAACTATTGAGTTTTTTTTTAAATTAAGTTCAACTTTAGTTAAATGAAAGCAGATT